ATAATGACACAAGCAATGAGCAATTCTAAATGATTTACAACAATTATAAAAATATAAACATACCCGTTTCTTGAATGATAGAACACGCATTAGTAGGTGCTAGTGGTGTTTGGAACGAAGGTGTTACCGTAGACAAATTTGATAATGAACCTACATCAATTAAATTTATTTAATTGAGTTTAGGTTACATCATATGTAATTTTAATATTGTTAAACTTAATATTTTAAAATTTGTGAAATAAAAAATATAACAAAAAAAATCATGACTCAATAAAATGAAGTTTATTATATAAATATATTTGTATCTTTATAAATATATACATTTAATATATCACATTAAACATAATTGGGCCAGAAAATTAAAATGCATGAGCCTAATATAAATTGTTGAATTAAAATTTGGGCTTTTAATATCGTCTATATATAATCCTAAGTATAATTTGCATAACCTAACATATTAATGGGCCACAACATCACAAAAATGTAGGCCATTTTTTAGCCCAAAAAATAGATAAGCCCATAATCACTGAAAACGTGTCTTTAAGAAGGAGACACGTCCATAATTTCGGACGGACGCGTGTGGCGAGATTGGATCTTCATTTAAATACTGAAAACCCTAATCTGTATTCATTTTCGCCGTTTTTCTCGCCTCTCTCACACTCTTCTACCTCCGTTTCTCTCTCTGTCATTTATCACTACTGATTACGATCGACCATTTTTGGCCGATAATCTCGCCAAAAACGTTGTTTCACCGGCGATTCAAGTCGGTTTTTCAAGCCGATTGCGAAAAAATGTTCAGATCTTATTGTTTCGAATGAAAAGAGAGACGGCAAAGTGAAATCGGCCCGATTTTACAACACCGATATACTAATTCATAGTATATCGGTACAAATCGGCCGATTACATATAGATATCGCAAGATCTATATTTTTTTTGGAATTTTTTTATTGTTTATACCTTTTTCTATTTTAAAAATCGTTATTACGTAATAGATCTGAACATATATGTACAGATCTGAACATTTTTCGGTTAATTACATTTTATTTCTTTGTAGATCTACAACTTTTACAATTTTTTTTTATTTTTTTAAAAATTTTCCTTGTATTGATATAGTAATAGGCTGTAAAGATCTGTTTTTTTAGGGTTTATTTCATTTTTTATGTTAATATTAATATAGATATTATCAGATTCGGACGAACTGTGATGTTAAGCGGTTGAATAAGGGCCTACTGTTTGAACAAATCACATTCGGAATAAACTTTTTGCCTATGTTTACATTTTTTAGTTTTATTTTCGGTATTAAAGTATTTTTCTGTCTTGTTTTTTCATTTTATATGATATCGGTGATTGTTACTGATATATCTGCCCCTCTTTTTTCTTTTTTTTTTTCGAAAACTTTTGCACACTAATATCAATATGTCATTTAATTTAACTCACTGTTTTATTTATAAATTTGAGTTTTATGTTTAAATTTAAATCAGATTTATAGTTATGTTACTCATTTTCAACAACTGAAAGATAACAAAGGTAATATATAAGTTAGGTTGCAATACTGTGTTTTAAAAGCTAAGGAATATACTACTATGTATAATATTGCTCAGTTAAATGCTAAGACAACTCGTTTGCAGGTGTAACAGTAGTTCTAACAGTGTTATCATATGCTTTACAGGTATAAACCAACGAAGAAAACACAGCCAGATTATAAACAAATAAGATAAGTGTCATCTACCTCATACATTTCAATTTTTTTCATATATATACTGAAAAGTAATATATTCTAATTTAATGATTCTCTGTTTTGAAGGAAACTGACTCTGTAAGCTCGGGAGTCATCATTTGGGTAACAAAATGGGAGAATCAGAGAATGAATATTTGTAAAAGAAGGTAACAGCAAAATAAGGTAACAAACTTTGAACAAATTTGATATTATGCGTAGCACTCAATAGCATTCTGTACCATTTGGAGTGGATTCTTGTTTGTTCTTTTTGTTGCCCAATATGTTGTAGCCGTTGGATAACCTTTTCATGTTCTTTGGATTTGTGTTGATCACTCTTCTTTCAGTGCTGAATCCACCTTATTTTTCTGCTTCATAAATCATCTTGTTTGGTCTTTATTGCTCTTTGTGTGCTCGGCTGATGAACAACAGAAGCTGACAAAGTTTTTATTTAGATGATGTGCTTTTGGGATAAGTAGACTAAATAAATTATGTTGGTTTATATAGAAAAAAATGCAACATCTATGTTTGGTAAGTATATTAAGTGCATTAGTTAGCTTTTATTAGGAATATTGACTTTGTTTCTTGTATTTGGAATGTATTAAAAAACTGACATTTCTGAAATATGTATGACTGCTGAAATCAGGATTTCATTAAATTGAGTAAATTCTTTGTTGAAAATGATATATTTTCTTGATATTTTATCCCTGAAACTGATTGATTTTATTGACTTATGTTTGATAGATAGTTAATGTGATAATAAAATTGATCAGTTTTTTGCATGATTTATGTGATTGATTGATTGAATGTTACTCCAAATTTGTGACTTGTTAATCAGCTAATTACATAAAAACTTAGTGGCTGAATAAAAAAGATATTAATTAACTTTGTTTTTTTAGTTATTTTCACTCGAATTATTGAATTTGTTCAATCTTAAAGAGTGTTATGTCTTGAAATTTGTGATATCTTAATTTTGTTCAATCTTAAAATTTAAAATGTTTTGGATGACAGAAGATTTGGTGTTGTTCTATGATCATTACTGCATGAATCTTCATTCATCCTGTTGATATGGTATATCAAGACTAAACACATTATAGAAAACCCAAAACTCTAAACACTGAAACCTTAAACACTAAAACCAACTTAAACAACATGATTAAGTGCTATGTTTTGAAATTAGTGATATCTTGATTCTGTTCAGTATTAAAATGTTAAATGTTTTGAATGACTGAAGGTTAAGTGTTGTTTTATGGACATATTATCTTAACATTATATGAATCTGTTTTTTGAAAGCATGATTATATGACATTACTTATTCTGGTTTTGTTCTTACTATACCCCTAAATGAATGATTCAGTAGCTACCCTTACCTTGATGTTTAAATTGTATTATCTGTTATGCCACAACACTTAAAGGATTTGCTTTTAGTTTTCTGATTAAGTGCTAACTGCTCATTTCTGCAAGAATCTTCAGTAATCATGTTGATATGGTGTAGTAAGACTGAACACATTATAAGAAACCATAAACTTTAAAGAGTGAAACCTGAAACCCTAAACCCAACTTAAACAACATGATTAAGTGGTTTTGTTTTAATACATGACTATGTGTTGCACACCCAAATGATCATTTCTGATGTTTTATATCTGGGTGCTGTTTTGTTGTTATGATTGAACAACATCATGGTTCTGTTTGTGTTTTGCTGTTTAAATTGTACTTTTTTGGTGTTGTTTTGATGTTATGTGTTAAATGATGAAGTGCTAAATGATCCTATCTGATATTTTTATTTCTTGGTGCTGTTTTGCTGTTATAATTAGATAGTTTATAACACTATTCTGATATAGATTTTTGCTTTAGAAAACTTGTATATTCTGATATTATCTGTTCATTTTAATTGTTGATTAATTTAGTTGTTTTGCTGTTTTGGATAGAGAACAATTCCTGTTATGTTGTTGCATGAATGATTAATAGTATCACTGGATATAGTTTAAGTAATTGAATAGCACAAACATTAACAAATAGGAAGATGGAATATTTATTCATGGAATTTCTTGAAATTGAGATAAGAAAACAGAATCATAGTTGAAACTGTTTTTGAAATTACTAAGCACACAGATTTTTTTTTTCAACTTTCACAATTTTTCAATCTTTATCTTCTTATGCCCTTTTGGCTCCTCTGAACAGCATGATCCTTCTACAAACACCTCAGTTTGTTCTCTCTTCTTAGTCTTTTCCTTGCAGCCATTTCCAGCAATAAGAGGGCAGTCCATTTCACCCTTTGCAACCCAGTTTGGGCTGTGAACTTCAGCCTTTACAGCCCTGTTTGGGCTGTACTGTTCAGTGGTTACAGCCCTTATTGGGCTGTAACCTTCATCATCTTCATCCCTCATTGGGCTGTACATTTCAGAATGTGCAGCACTTATTGGGCTGTTATCCTTCAGTTCAGCCTGCACAGCCCTTTTTGGGCTGTTTACTTTAGCTTCTACAGCCCGGATTGGGCTGAGCAGTTCACCATTTGATTCCTTCATTATGGAAAATTTTAAATTAGCAATAAATATAATTTTATATATTATATGTAGAATTAATTAGGTAATAACCTGTGAAGTTATTGGCAAAGGTCCAAATCGATCGAGCAAAATAGGATCAGCGGTAATGCGAGCTACCGTAAATGGACCGTTGTAAGATCCAAATTGATCTTTCTTCTTTGACACTTTAAACATGAATGCTTTATCATTCAATTGCTCAATTCCACTTGGCAAAAGAGCTCCATCATCTTCCTACATAACAGAATACATCATAAGAATTATAAAATATTTTGAAATGTAACTAATCATTATTGCATTTACAACACAAATTAGGGTGCATGCCTTCAACATGTCGTTGACAACTTCTTCGCAAGATTTTCCAATCATCTCTCTTGAAACTTTATCCCAACACAGAAGTGGTACAACTCCCGTGTCGTCCACGATTGAAATGTGGAGCTTGTACCTTAACATTTAAAATTAAGATATTATAAGAATTAATTATTATAGATGATGATTATAAAATGAGAGATTCAATTACCTTAGAATCGCAAAAGGAATAGAGTTCTTGCAATAATTGCACCAAAAACTCTCTCCTTTGGGCTCCACTTTCCGAACACATTCCGGGCAAGATTTGAAGAAAAAATTGCCGGATATGTCAATGATATTGCCAAAGATCCAATAATTACGTTCCTGAAAAATAATAAATAAATAAAATATCATAAACCTGATATGAATATTAATTAAGAAATTTGAAGATTTAATAATTAAATATGAATCAAGTAATCAATTTATAATATTATTTCTACCTCATTAGCATTCATAAAATCAGCCACACTCTTGATTGGAGAAATTCCCGACTCCAAATCTTCACCAATATTAGATATGAAGGGCCTCACATATTGGAATGTTGACTCACTTGGCCTTATGTGTGAGTTGTACCTTTATATTCAACCAATAAATTTAGAAAAAATCAATATATTAATCAATGGATTAAGTATATTTTTATACAATAAGAATGTATACAAAATAATTTAAATATCATTACCTTTTCAATTGCACAAAATCTCCTAAAACCACTCTTTTCAATTGCAGAAAATG